AGAGCGCGCTGGATGGACGCCCTCCAGCGCCTGCAGCTGCCGCTCGCGCTGCTGCAGCAAGGCCAGGGCGGGCAGGCGCGCCCGCGCGGCCGCGCCAACGCCGCGTTGCCAGCGTGGTCCTCTGGGGAGAGCCCCCTCCCCCGCGCCTCCTCCTCGTCCAAGTGGCCCTTGACCCAGCGGGCCCCCAGCCAGTCGGTCTGGCAGGAAGGGGCCAGCTGGTCCCAGAGGTCGGCGTGCGACAACTCCATGGGCGTTGCCCCGCCCCGGAGCGCCGCCACGCCGTTGCTCACGTACTTCGAATCCGTGATGATCTCCACCGGCCCACCAGCCAGACCAAGCGCTTGCAGGGCAGACAAGAGCTCGGCGCGCTGCGCGGCCTGCTCGCCCCCGACCGGCCCCCCGCGCTCCAGCGTCGTGCCAGCAGGGTGCTCCACGCGCGCCCCCCAGCCAGCCCTGGGCAGCAGAGGGTCAGCCAGTGCACGCAAGCGCCGTCGGTCCACGCGCACCCGCGGGCCTGCGACCCCCGCAGCCGCAGCGGCCAAGCCGGGCAGCGCCGGCGCCAGGAGCGGCCAAGTCGCCTGCTCGGCAAGAACCGCCAAGCGCGCGTCCCGCGGCACGACTCCCGTCAAAGCCACCTCTGGCGGCAAGCAAGCCCGCGCCGCCTCGGGGGTGAAGTGAGCCTTGTGGCCGCGAAGGCGGCGCGTCGCGCTTTCCCAGCGCGGGCAATCACAGAAACGGTGCTGGGCGTTCTCCAGCGGCGCGCCGCAATGCGGGCAGCCCGCCGGGCGGCCCCACTTCGAAGCCACACTCTCTGCGACCACGTTGCCAAACAGCACCGCGCGCAGAGCGCCCGCGGCGTCAGCGGCGAGCCGCCCGTGCTGCAGGACCCGCCGGGTGGCTCAGCGGCCGACGCCAGCCGCCACATGACCGAAGGTGGCCCGGCGCCCTGCCAGCTCCCGAGCCTCTCTGCAGGCCCAAGCCTCCAACAGCACCCGCCTCGTCGCCTCGTCACCACAACCACAACCACCACCACAACAATCCGCCACATAACCACCACCACAACCACGATCAGCGAAAACAACACCACCACCACAACCCACTACCACCACTATCACGACAAACCACCACACCTCCACCACAACCACCACCACCACCCACCGCCACAACCACAACCACCACAACGAACCACCACCACCACCACAACCACCACTACCGCCACCACCACCACCACAACCCATCAACACCACCACAACCACCACCACCACCACCACCACCACCACAACCACTACGACAAACCACCACACCACCACCGCACCACCACCACCTTCTTCTCAACCCACAACCACCACAACTACTACCACCACCACCACCAGAAACCACCGCACCACCACCACCACCACCGCCACCACCACCACCACAACGTGCCACGACCACCACCACAACAACCACCACCACCAGCAACAACCACACCACCACCACCACCACCACCACCACCACCACCACCGCCACAACCACCGCCACCACCACCACAGCCAACCACCACCACCACCACCACCACCACCACCACCACCTCAAAGAGGCCCCAAGAGACGCCCAAGAGGCGCCCAGGAGGCTGCACAAATATCCTCCAGAGGCTCCGGAGAGCCCCCCGACGAGACCCCAAGAGGCATCCATTAGGACTCTGACCAAAAACCCAGGCACGGTGGCGGAGCGTCGTCGTCGTCGTCGTCATCGTCGTCGCCGTCGTCCTCGTCGACGCTCCCCGCCGCCGCCGCCGCCCGCGCCGGCGCCGGCCCAGAAAAAAAAATCGTCGTCCCCACCGGCGCCGCCAGCCGCCGCCGACACAGGCGCCGGCCCGAAGAGAGGGAGAGAGGAGAGGTAGGGGAGGAGAGGGGGAAGGGGGGGGGTGAAACTCCCCCCTTTGTCACGGGAAGGGGGGTGGGTTGGACCCCCCCCCTTTCCATCCAAGGGGGGGGGTGTCCGGTTCCAAACCCTCCCTCTCCAAGCGACCACAAAGCGCGCTCTTTCACAGGTCTGGAATGCTAATTGGGGCACCCTGGGAGGTCAGGAAAGGACGGGGCGAAGATCCGGACAGCTCCTCACTGCCCTCTTCCCCCTGTTTGTGCATCTCCTCATTCGGGGGCCGGCGGCATGGCGTGAGTCTCATGGAAGGGGAGGAAGACAAACCGAAGGGAGGAGGAGGAGGAGGAGGAGGAGGAGGAGCAAGAGGAGCAGCAGCAGCAGCAGCAGCAGCAGCAGCAGCAGGAGAAGGATCAGCAGCAGTAGCCGAGCGAGTTGGCAGCGACGCGGAGATCGAACCCGCGCTGGCACTCCACATCGAAGAGAAGGGAGAAGAAACGGTACACCCGTAAGCTTTGGGGCTTGATGCGCTTGTCGCAGAGCGAGGGGGGGGGCAGTGAATCCAATCACTCTCCCAGCTTTGGCGTCTAGATCCATGCATTGCAACGCGGGGTATGAGGAGGAGGAGGAGGAGGAGGAG